TGGTGTGTATAACAAACTTGATTTTTTGTGCAAGTGGGACAAGAAGTTAGGTTAACTAATGAAGCAATATTTCGTTTGGTCAAAGATTGGGTAAAGAGTATCGAGGCTAAAGAAAGACGCGGTTAAGTGGTTGAATTTTGATCGTATGGCAGCATTGATTGGTTCATGACTGCAATTAGTTTGAGGCCAGCTGTTCCCCATCTCAATTGGTATTCTTTTTCCTTTTATGGCATCCACATCTAAGGTTTGAATTTGATTATTTTCAAGAAAATAATGTTGTACGTTCTAAAATTTGTTTAACGTGCCTTGAATTTGTTTGGATTAGATATCTAAAATTTGCTTAACATGCCTTGAATTTGTTTGTGTTTTTCTCATTGCTGACTGAACTTTTAAATTGAAAATAGTGATTACTGATGTGTTATGTTTTGTATGTTTGCCCTTCTCCATTATTGTGTGATGGTTTAGATATGCTGATTTGATGGAAATGCCACGAGTAGACATTTAAATGATTTTGAGTTCAGTGTAATTTGCGGTATCAAGGATGAAAGGAGCCTTTTATGGGCTGAAGATTACACAGGCCTCTCTCATCCTCATCAGTTTTGTTTGTGCAACGGTGCTTATACTGGCATGGACGAAAACTACATTCCTCACTTCTTTAATCCCATCTCAGAGTAGTACTGTGCTGTTGAATCCAGGTTTGCCTTTACTTATGATATTTATCTAGCTGGTTAAGCCATTCATTTTCAGGTTTTTTTGGGATCTGACTGGCAACATATAGACCTCAAGATTGCTTTTTTAGTAGTGTTTAAGATGGTATATTTTGGCTGGAAAATGTGCACTGACATCTTTAGTGTGCTTAAACTTTATCACACACTTGATTTTTCTGATAGCATTGTGTTGCAAAGTAAATGATAAACTGTAGTGGATCCTTACCTGCTCTTACTTGTGTACTTTGTCCTACGACAATCAAGTTAAATTTGGTAGAAGTGTAGAACAAATATTTTCTATGCACTCAAGCTCATTTGGGAGGAAATAAGTTTTCTTCAGCGCACAATAAAAGATTAGGTTTTTCCTTGAATACCACCAGAATTCCCAACCCTGCATTGCCCTGGATTCTTGGGAGTATCATGAATTTCTTTATCTGCTTAAAACATTAATCAGATATCTGGCGCACTCTGGTTTTTCTCCTTCTGAGAATGAGTGGTGCTTTACTTTTCTAAAGTTCCTTTCATCTTGCATTTCCATCAATTTTAGAGGTAGTGAGCTTAGGACAAGTTTAGTTGGAATTATTCACTTTTCTAAATTCTCTTGCTTGATGCTACTTATTCCAGTATATTTTTTATTATCACGCTTCATTTATCAAATAGTTTTGTAATAATGAGTTGTGCCTGCTGAATCATAAATTTTGAAGTGGGGTTTTTACTATTACTGTGGCAAATTGAATTGTTGCAACTTGCCTCTACATAACATCTGAAATTAGAATTTCAGATTGTGGTATATTTGGTGATGGTGCAGAAATCCCTCCTGATCTTACGGATGGAGCAGTTTCAGAAAAAGTTTTAGAAGGAAAAAACAGTTCAAAAGAAGCTGGAAGGGACAAAGTAGCAGTAGTAGGCGTGTCAAGCAATAAGTCTACCATTAAGGGAGAACACAGTAATGTTTTGGTGACAGATGATGGCGCTGAATTCCCTTCGGGTATTATGAATGCAGGTTCAGAAAAAGCTTTAGGAGGAAAGAACAGTTCAATCGAATCTGACAGGGACAAAGAAGAACCAGTAAGATTGTCAAGCTCAGAGTCTACTATTAAGGAAGAACCCAGTAAAAATTTGGTGACAGATGACAAAAAGAAAGGTGGAATGTTCATCTTGAGATTTTTAATCTAAATAACCTCATCATTCAATTGGATTGCTCAATGAGTTTAGTTGCCTCAGGCCTTTAAAAGACTGTCGTGATGTTTGATGTTTTTCATTTGTACATGATGCAACATTTACTAGTACTGCTTTGTTGAAAAGTAATCTTTTTGATAAGACTATGACCTTTTTTTTCCCCTTCTACTATATTAAATTGGTTGTATTGTCTATTTAGGAATCATAAGTTATGGTGTCTTTATTTGTTCGCGTGTCTATATTGAGTTGCTATATTCATAAGATCAGCATCAATTTTGCTTATTGTCGCATAATTTTCCTTCAGAGTTATTGTTTTTGCAGTTCGAATCTAATTTCAACGGAATTCCTGTTTAAAAGATTATCTCATCTATGAGGCTTCAGATTTTAATAATGTACTGCTTGTGCAGAAATTCCTCCAAGTATTACAGGATCAGAATCAGACAAGCTGTTGGAAGCAAAAAATAGTTCAAAACCAGCAGAAAAGGATGTAGTTGGAACTAGAAGTTCAAAGCAAAGTAAAAGTTCGTCAACTCTGACTGAGAAGAAAGGTTGGATACAAAACTTCAGTTTGATTTATTTTGGAATAGTAGATTGATGAAAAATGTGTGGTTGAAAAAAAAATGAAAAGTTATTAATGTGATAGAAAATATTATTTTAGTGAAGAATGCGTGGTTGAAAATGAGTAGAAGAATGAGAATGAAAATTTTGATGTGTACCAAACAGGGGCTCGGTTGTCTCTAGAATGTCCATCGTTCCTTTCTTATGAATAAACAACTACGAAACGTGATTTGTAATAGATTGTATATTCTCTCTTATGAAACAAGCACTAGTGAACGGAATTTGTAATGGAGCCAACTTAATTTCTTGGAGTTGTAGCCTTAAATATTTTATGCCATACGAAAAATCAAAGAAGTCAATATAATATTGGGATAGGTTTCCTCGTCACAGAAGTGAAGAGAGCTGTGGGAAAAGAGAACACGTCATTTGAAAATTGCCTGTGGTTGGTATTGTCCTTGGATAGCCTGCATTTGGTTTTCCTATCTGTAATTATTCTTATATATACTCTTCCATATTGATCTATGATTCGTAATGGATACATTTAACTGGATGCTGTACACATATATTATAATAGAACTTGTATTGCCATATTTTCTGATCATCATTACATTTTTCAGGGTGTAATTATGCCAAAGGTAAATGGGTCATAGATGATAGTCGACCCCTATATTCTGGCTTTGGTTGTAAGCAATGGTTGTCTTCAATGTGGGCTTGTCGCCTGACACAACGCACAGATTTTGAATACGAGAAACTACGTTGGCAGCCCAAAGAATGTAGAATGGAAGAATTCATGGGATCTAAGTTCCTGAAGAGGTATATATTAGATTTTCTTAAAATGTACGATATTTGTTTGGGGAACTTAAAATATCTCGAGAGTTTGCAATGATGTGGCAGCATTTTGCTTATGCCCATCCCTAGAATATTGATTATTATTTTTTAAATAACAAGTGCAGGATGCAGGACAAAACTCTGGCCTTTATTGGCGATTCATTAGGTAGACAGCAGTTCCAGTCACTGATGTGTATGGTAACCGGCGGTGAAGAGAGACACGATGTTCTTGACGTGGGAAAGGAGTATGGCCTTGTCAAAGCCCGTGGTTCTGTACGTCCTGATGGATGGGCTTATCGATTCCCAATTACCAACACTACCATCCTTTACTATTGGTCTGCAAGTCTCTGCGACTTGGAGCCACTCGACCCGTCTAATCCAGCCACTGATTATGCTATGCACCTGGATCGTCCCCCAGCATTTTTGCACCGTTTCCTTCACAAATTTGACGTTCTTGTTCTGAACACGGGACACCACTGGAATAGAGGGAAACTTAATGCCAACCGGTGGATCATGTACGTTGGGGGTTTGCCTAATACCAATAGGAAGATTGCAAGTATTTCTGGTGCAAAAAATTTTACAGTTTACAGTATTGTAAGATGGGTGAACTCACGGCTTCCGAAATATCCAGGTCTGAAAGCATTTTTCAGGTCAATATCACCAAGGCATTTCTTCCATGGAGATTGGAACACGGGAGGTACTTGTGACAATACTACCCCTCTATCTGGTGGGAAGGAAGTTTTACTAGATGAGTCTAGCGATCATCTTGCTTCAGGGGCAGTGAACGGAACGGATGTTAAGCTGTTGGACATAACGGCATTATCCGAGCTTAGGGACGAGGGTCATATATCTCGTTACAGCATTAAAGCCACACCTGGAGTGCAGGATTGCTTGCATTGGTGTTTACCAGGTTTACCTGATACCTGGAATGAGATTTTGTTCGCCCAACTCTAGTTCAGCAAAGCTAACAACTGATATGAAACATTTCCCACCTTCCTTTTCTGGAAAAGGAGTCACCAAATGTCCCGTTGGATGAAGTATTCAGATGATTCTTAACTGATTATGTGATAGAAATTCCGTTCCAAACTCGAAAATAGTTCAAAGAATAAAAGTTTTGATACCAAAACATAGGCTATTTTTCTCTTCAATTAGGTGATTAGAAATGAGAAAATGGGGAAACTAGAGAAAGGTCCCTAAATTATAGTCTGTATCTGATTCACGTTCTATTCTATGACTTTCTGTATTTTTTAATGACTGCGCTAATTATTACATAAATAGCAAGCAAATATAGCTTTAGTTACCTGAGGACATGTGACATTTTGATTTTGTTCTGTACATCTTGTTTTCAAATGGATTCAGAGATTGACATGAAAATGTTGATACTGTACCCATGAGAATTCTAATTCTTCCAAATCAAGACACGTCTGATAATAAGACATTATTATTTATTAAAGAAGATATAAGTATGATGATTCATCGTTAGCGTCGTTTAATTCTGTTCAATCTAACATACATGCGCTATAAAAATTGGCTGTATCGATATTGTTGGAGAGATGTGTAGACAGTCGAGGTTCAACAATGGCAACAAGTGGGTATTTTCTACGCGGAGCTAGCCCGTAAATTTCGTCCATGCTCAACTCTTCCATTTTCATATCTTCTGTCAACTTCCACTCAAATCCATGCAACATATTAGCCAAGCTTAACCAAATCATCTTCAACCCTAAACTATATCCAGGGCACATTCTCCGACCTCACCCGAATGGCAATAACTCAAAATTCTGCCCTTTAACATCCATTTCCAGCCCCAAAAACCTCTCTGGACGAAACTTTTCAGGTTCATCCCATGTTGCACCATCCCTCCCAATGCTCCAAGTGTTAATAAAAACTGTAGTCCCTTTAGAAATGTGAAGTTCTGATATATTGCAGTCTTGAAGGGAAAAATATGGATCCGCGCAAAACATGAACAACTCAGTTAGTCAAGAAGACAGCATGACATGACGATAAGTAGGTCCTACAAAATGTACGGTCATAATTAATGTTCGACTAATATTGCATTGTAGAAAGTTGATATTGGTACTGATAAGGATCTATAATTCAGCATTTTTGTGTCCTAATTTAGAAAAAAAACAAGGGAGGTATTGGGATTTTCCCGCCATGAACCCCCTCACGTTATCACTGGTAAGTTTGACTTGAAGATTTGGATCATCACTCATTAGCCAGTTCCAATAGCAAATCCACATAATCCCTTTTCACCCTCCTAGCCTTGTGTTCATCGAATACACGTTCATAAAAGGTATCAAATTTCTTGCGCAAAATCTTCATCCTCTTCACATACCCGTGCAAATCAAAGAAATCAAGCCATGGAATCCAATCTCCAATGTTCAACACACCATTGAGCAACATCAGTTAACATTTCTTGAAATCCTTCGAGTGTAAAAATTTCATCGCCATTTCCTGATTTGCTGAAGTACTTCTGATGCGGACAACCATCTAGATTTATTTTCTTGTATTATGGGTTAGCCCAAGCCCCTTTATTTTAGGGTTGTTTATTAGATTATTTATATGGTTTTGGATTTGAAAGAGAAGGCAGATGATGAATGAATGAAATGAATTGTGGTTTGTTGCCAAAGTCTTCTCCCTTCCCCTATTCTTCTCCTTCTTCTACCGTTTTCTTCTTCTGCTATTTCTGCTTCTGAATTCTTCTTCTCTGTAGAATTGTTTCACATTCTCCGTTGGGTATTTCAATTGGTGCTGCACCAACTTCTGTCCCAATACTATTCTGCTTATAAGGCAGAGAGTTGGACGTGAGAGATGATCCTTTATGCACATTGGTTGCCCCGAAGCTGCGTATAATCTCGAGATGAAAGCATGCCTTTCTTCGACTCAGATATATTCATAAGACTCGAGACGTTTTGTACAAAACAACTCATTGAGGAAAATTTTACGGCCTTGTTTCCAATATGGACCATAGGGTGCCATGTCACATCACAATAGTTATAAGTAGTGTACCAGGGCGAGAAACAAAGATACTTTCAAGAAGCAGTTGCAGGGCGAGAAACAAAGATATGAGTCATATGATCATATGTTCTTAATAATAGTTTAGCCTTGTCGGCCGATGAGACGACGACAACTGATTTTGAACCAAATTTGAGTTACATAATGTGGCCATATGTTTGGGACAACCTGTGGAGGGATTGATGGGGGACAGCACCAATGAGCACGGGCGGACCCCAACGGGGTCAACTTTTGAATTTTTTTATTTTTTTTTTAAGTTATGTTTGGTATCGATTAAAATCTAAATTTTAATATAAATCAAAGTTAACAATTAATTCTAATAACATATTTCATGTAATCCATATTTAACTTTTATCAAAATTTACTAAAAATTTGATTTTAATTTCCACCAAACAAGGGTAAAATCACAATAAATTTGAATTTCGATAACAAACTAATTTTAAAAATTCTTTAATAATCGTACGCTAATCGAATCTACTAATTACTTATATCGTTTTAAAGTTTATTTCGAAAACTATATTATAAGCATGTCGAATAGTCCAAACAGATATCGAAAATAGTTAAACGTGAGTCTTAAAAAAAGACGTCTAACTCGCATTTTTTTAAAAAAAAAATCAATTATTTCATTAAAATTTATTATTTTTGCGATACAAATTTCTCAATGTAATTTTCATCAAAACTTCTTTGCAAATTCGATTGTGCCCCCAAATTTTAAACTTCTGTGGCCGCCCCTGCCATTGAGGTTAAGGTTGCCAATGATGGGCACAGGTTTCGGACCCGGTTGTACGTTTTTCGCCCCACGACGGTGGAAAAGGGAATAATTTTTAGAGAGAATGTAAAATGCCAAAGCTAAGACCATCCATAGCAGGATCTCCATTGGCGATGAGGAAGTTGACTGATTTTCCATTTAAAAGGACAATATCCTATGTTTATTTTATCAGAGGAAATGATTTTGAGGACCCTCAATTAACAAGTCTATGGTCCTAGTTTGCCATCTTATCTTCCTCGATCTCATCCAATTTCCTGCATTTACTATCTTCATTGAAAGGTGTTGGGGTTGATCAGTGATTTAAAGTGAACAGCACAAAGCTCGACGTTAGATTTTCATCAACTCTGAAAGTCCTGATCGTTAAGGGATAAATCTTAAATCAAATTACGTCGACAAAAAAATACACGATCGATAGTTTAACTTATCTAAAAAACATGTTGTGGATCGTTGATGTGGGCTGATTTGGCAAGATACTAAATATGGATTGGAGGCAATACCTTGCACTTGTATTCAAATCCTCAACCTCCCTCAACTTCCTATAACCTCTCTACATGTGTAGTATTGAGATAGAAGAGAAATGAATCTCTTGAAATGGTGGAACTTGTATAGCAAACTGAATCTAAAGTAGAAAGGACTCAAAGCCATATTTTTGCTAGAAATCTCACAAATCTTGGAACTTATATTGTGGTTAATGATCTTCTTCAAATGTTATCGAGATTGAGAACGTGAAAGTGCAATAAAATGCATATTTTGGAGCATGGTAAAGTATAGTGATTCAACCATGAAAAATCTTGGAAATTCATTCTTTTCCTCTCTGTTTGACGCACATTAATTTCTCATTTTAATAAAAAATGCTACCGTTGCAACAATAAATGTTATGGTGACGTAGCCGCAATATTTGAAAACACAAAAGTCAGCCGTCTTTTGGCATTTGAAATGTCATAATTGTCCTTTTTTTTAATTTGGCATAGAACAAGTGAGGGGCAACATGGTATTTTCACAAATTTTTTCAACTAATTTAGGCAACACAGTCAAACATGATTGCCAAAGTGGGCCAGGTTCCCTGTATAACGACAGAATTTTTCATTCTCATTTTCGGAAAAATGCACACCAAACAGGGGTTTATGTAAGAATTCTTGAATCGAAACTTATGTTTGGCATGATGTGTATTCTTACTTTCTAACGCTGGAAGCTCTTGGTTGAGGTAATTTAACAAATACAAGAACAAAACATCGTCCTTCATCCCAATATTGCTTGTAGGGGAGAATAAAATGTCTATTTTAGTCATCACGAGATATCTAAGAAACTGGTTTGCAATGCCTAGGGTTGTCAATTGGGGCCGCCGGCTGCCTCAGGTTCGGCACATCCCTCATTTTCCGGTGGTTCAGGCAGGGCTTCGGCCACGGCCAACACACCTCTCAACATGCCATTTGACTCTTTTTTAATTATTGTTCATGCTATATTAATCCTCATAATTTTATTAATTCAGACATTTCCTTTTCCTACGTTGTGGCAGTCCCAAATAGTTTGTGTAATGTCAATGTGAATGACAACTGGAACGACCTAAACGATAAGCCTTCCTTAATTAGATGAAAAAAGATGTAACAATGACTGGAGGAAATTCTATCCTGCTACTCGCACATTGATATTCGCCCTTACGATCATCCATGTCTAATAATGTCCACATATCACTTCGTGTCGAAATTTTCGGTGTATACAATATTTTCGATTAGTTTGGAAGATGAACTATACTTTATTTATAGCATTTCTCGACTTTAATGAGATCATTATTTATTTATTGATGATGGATATCAAATGATGATATCAAATCAAAAGACAATGATGATATAGAGGAACGTTTTCGATGAGACCAAGAACACTTAAAACTTTGAACTCATTGATTTCCTTCAATTGTGATTGTGATTGAGATTGAGAACGTGAAAGTGCAATAAAATGCATATCCCAAGCATAAAAAGCAAGGTGATTTAATCACGTGAATCTTGAAAATTCATACTTTTCAAGTAAGAATTCTTGAATCAAAACTTATGTTCAAGCATGATGTGTATTCTTACATTCTCTAACGGTTGAAGCAAGCTTTCAGTTGAAGTGATTTGACAAATTAATACGAGGACAAAATACTCCTCAAGAGGTATCTTTGTAATTATCTCAA